GCGTTGCCGTCGCCGTCGCCGTTGGCGTCGCCGTTGGCGTCGCCGTTGGCGTCGCCGTCGGCGTAACCGCGCGGTGCATTATGGGTAAATTTCCCCGCTAAATCTAGCTGAAAAATTTCCCCGCTAAATCTAGCGGAACAATTTCCCCGCTAAATCTAGCGGAAAAAATTTCCCCGCTAAATCCAGCGGAAAAAATTTTACCACTAAATCTAGCGGAAAAATTTCCCCACTAAATCTAGCGGAAAAAATTCCCCCCTAAATCTAGCGGAAAAAATTTTCCCGCTAAATCTAGCGGAAAAAATTTCCCCGCTAAATCTAGCGGAAAATTTTTCCCGCCAAATCTAGCGGAAAAATTTCCCCGCTAAATCTAGCGGAAAAAATTTCCCCGCTAAATCTAGCGGAAAAATTTCCCCGCTAAATCTAGCGGAAAAACTTTCCCCGTTAAATCTAGCGGAAAAATTTTGGTCACGTGACCCGGGGGTCACGTGACCTGGGGAGTCACGTGACACCCCGAGGTCACGTGACCTCCACCCGAGGTCACGTGGCCTCTGAGGGGGAACAGGTGTTTGCCCCCACGTGACCCCACCAAGGTCACGTGCCCTCGGGGGGGTCACGTGACCCCCCCCCCCCGAGAACACGTGGCCCTCAGTACCCTCCCCTCCTCCTCCTCAAGAGCTGCGCTCCAATTCGGCGTTACAGGGAGTGGTAAACGGCTTTCACTTTTTTTCCAGCTTGATCGGGTAGAAACGAAATGCTAACGCGGCTAGTGTTTTGAACATTTCTAGTGTTGCAAACATAGTTTTGCGGTAATTTTTTCTTGAACATTATTGCTTTAATAATATTATAATGGCCGCACAAGAACGTTTGCGCCGGTTATATTATTTTTATTTTTAATCTGAACACTTTAATTTCCGTTTTGGGCATAAATAGTGTGTTTTAAAGCGAAATACTGCCAGTCACTCTACGCTCGGTGCCAATGGTGGCCCAGGAACTATGTGCGTCGCGCGACCGGCTTTTGCTGTGGTCGCTAGAACGCGAGGTGGCAGCATCGGCCGCTGCGGAGTGTAGCGGCGGATAATGTAGTGTTATCGGACTTCTGCGTATAGCGCGATACTGTCACGGGGTACCGTAACACCTCGATATGACTTGCGGAAAGTGTGCCGTGCTTGTCTATTATCATGTGACCGGACCTCTGTATATATTGGATTGCTGGAATAAACTAGGGCCTTTTTTGGGGCCTGTCCGTCCTGGCCTGCGGCTGGAAGTCTTCCGTTCATCCAGGTAGAAAACAAGACAGTAGCAGCGGCGGCGCTGCTGTCGACCCTTAGATCGGTCGGCTTGCCGGGCGATCGCCCACGATCGCGCTGCAAGGCCGGCGGTTCGGTCGTTGCCTGTGGCATTTCATACACACAAGAACCGCATTTCGCATTTGTGGGACATTTGTTCGTTGTATTACGCTACATTGTTCGTTAAGTTCACTTCGTGGAACGAGGGTCGATTTTTTTTTTCTTTGCTGGTTGCTAATATATCCCGACTTGGGCGTACAGTCAGTTGATGCTCATTTTCTGAAAAGCTAGACTCTAACTTTGCTCTGATAAGGTGTGCTAACACACCTGCTAAGGGAATTTCTTAAAATACGCGTACACTGTTTCGTTGCGCATCTCATCTCGAAGCATCGCAGGTGGTAATGCCTCATGGATATTAGAAAGTTACAAAAATAAGGAAATGGTGTGCTGGCGTTAAATACAATGATTATTTATTCAATGAACAAGAACCCTGAAAAAGGCCCAAGTATAAATTTAAAGCATATGAGCTACGTAATGCGACGAAGCTTCAGATAGCGCATTCGCTGCCTCCTACCTTCTCTCACCTTGTTTTTCGTTAGGACGAGAAAATGTAGCCTTGTTAGCGCGTAAAACTTGATGAGGCTGTGGCTGACCTCCGTGCTATGTTCACTGCAACCAATCGCACCCAGCCTATGTCTTGTCAGAGAGGAAATGAGGTTCATTACACTATTTTCTTTTAGCTTGTTAAAGCTTAAACAATAGGTGAACGAGTTTTCATATCTGTAACGAAGGCTTGGAGTTCTGAGAAGGATAGAGCAGCCCCCCCCCCCCCCCCTTGTCGACCTTTTGCGGCAAGGAAGCTACTGCGGGACACGCCTGAAGGGTTTTTCTGTAGGGTATTTTTGAAGGGTTTTGAAGGTCTGTGAGGTCCCATAATCCTTCAAGGCTGATGGGCCCTTTAGAATTATTTTCAATAGGGAAAGTTCAGAGCCAGTCCATTCTCACTTGAATCGCGAGGACGCGTCAAAATGGTTTTGGACGTGCTCTGGACGAAATAAACACGACAAATGCAGCTCAGGATCGCTACAAGTTGCGGCGTCGCCGCTCGAAACGAATCTAAGAAGCTACGCGCGCGCCACCTATCGTTAGGAGGACTACCTTATACACGACCCGCCGTTCGCTGCCCGCCCGTGAAGCTTCCCCCTTTCCTTCTGGCCACCAAACGTTTGCGTTCATGTGTTTTGGATACACAAATAACGGCACGTATTGCCAGGTGGTGCGTCATGCGGAGCATCGCGCGGCGCCGTCGGGACGCCAGCATCGGTTGCCGTGGACACTGGCGCGCCCTTCCGCGCGGCGCACGTTTTTATGACTCATGTGTACAGTGTACTCATGTGTCCCCTGCTGTAACCACGACAGTGCATGAAATGTTCCCACACCGAACCATCATTTGTGTAGGTGTGTGTGTTTGTGGGTATGTGGGTTTGTGTGTGTAGTATGTGAGACTGCTAATTAGGAGACTCGGAATTTAAATAGCGGCGCCGACACAAAACATCTCGACTTTCAACGTCTTCGTACCAATAATTTTGTTCGAACATAGCTCTTCATTAATCTACACATTTTCGAATAGGTTTTCCTTATAACTCCTATTCACACGCCAAGATTCGCAGCAAAGCAGGTTCTTTTCCTCTTCGAATTATTCCTAGTTTTAACTAAAATGTTAACGAAGTCATATTTTATTTGCACTAAGGAACCGTGACAGTATAGATTGTGAGAATATCGGAAGGCCGGCTTGATTTGTATACTTAACTGCTGGTGCAAGTAAAAGAAATGACTCGCCATCATTTATATACGTTTGTGAATTTTTAAGGAAGGGAAAGTTCGCCAACGCAGAACAGTTTAGTTGGCATAATTTGATAATTGCCCCAAATTCCAAACACCACTTATCTTAATCAAACAAGAAACCAGCTTCCGACCAGCAATGACCTACGAAGCAAAACTGATCGAGGAAATGAAACTTCTTAAGATAGAGTTTTGGCCGACTTGGATGTTGATGACTAATAGGCAGCAGCGCATATCAGAACTCGCACACTCATAACACACGCACACCGGCAAAAAGAACCTCTCACGTCGGGCTAAATCCGGTTTGTATTTTGTTTTCTTTACACCGAGTTTTGTCTTCCATCATTGGTGTAGAGGAAGACGACACAATACGAACCAGAGTTGACAGTCAGCACGACGTGAAAGGTTCTTTTTGCCGGGATGTCTGTGTTATGAATGTGTGTGAGTTATTTTGTGCGCTGTAACATAAAAGTCATGATCGCGGAGGATGAAACTTGCCCTAGAAGTTTGCCACCATCGTCAACCTGCGTGGGCATTTTCGGCCTTCTAATTTGCAATCGCTTTCTACGACTTGGTGCATGTACAAATATGTTATGAGGGAAAGTACCGAAGTTCCTAAAATCCCTAGCTTTAGTAAGGTCGGATTGTTTGTTTCCGAGAGTTTAATCCCGGCCGGATCCGAGCCTAACCCAACTTGAAGTAAATAGGCCCAATCCCGATCCGAGTCTGAAAAGGGCGATCATGCCATGCCCGAGAGTCTGGTCGAGTTCGGTTGTTTGGGCTTAGCCCGCGCAGATCTCTAATATTGTTTAAGAGTAATAGCCTGTCCCAGAATGTTAGTAACTGCGTTAAAGTGGACTTTACAATAAAATTGAAATTAACTTTTCAATACTCCTGCTCTGAAACAATAACAGAATCGGCATACAAATACCTCGTTGTTATGTTTCACAATTACAGTTCAGGATCAATGCAAGCAAAGCGGGATTTGGGAAGGCGGGCAGGCCTCTTAGATTGTGCAACTTTACCTCAAACATGTGTGTAGCAAGATTAAATAGCCATCTATTAAAACCACAGGGGGTCGATTTTAATATGTGCTTGCCCTCTGTGAGATCCGGTTTTACCGTGTTTATTTATAGGCATTCGAGTGCATTCTACCTTTCGCTGGTCGGTTTTCCTAGGGAGGTACAATCACATCTAAGCACAACAAAAATGAAGCAAGAGTTGGATCGTGCTTTCTTGGATGAGTGGCCTAGACGTCTCTAGTGAAGCTTTTCTCTTTTGTATTGTAAATATTAAAAATTTATCTCACCGCAAATGGATCACACTTGCAAACACTTACCGTAGGCCGAATTTACAAATATTTTAAACACTTATTTTTTCTGCGTACCTTATCGAAGTGAAATCGTTACCAGCAGAAGTGTGGTGCCGCGGGAATACTGATCTATTTTACAATGCACTGTGGACCATGCAATGACAAAGGGTCGTTGTGGTTTTTTTTTTTTTGAGTAAAGACGAAAACAACAGACGTCAATGTGTCTCCTAACTTTAAACGGCCGACAAAACGTGATTATTCACGGGTCATCAAGTTTAAAGAGGCGAGTGGTATCGGCTTTGGTTTGTGGAGAACAAGTTTATGAAAATCACCGTCGCACTTTTGCCGTTACCAGTGAGAGCAGGGATTGAAATACATAAATGGCGGTGACATCGGGCTAAATTGGTCACTTGAGCTCGAATTGTTACAAAGTGATTTCGGTTAAAGAACCAAATAGAAAACTCATCAAAGTTAAATTGCAAAGTCGGTGTCACAGCCCGCATAAAAAACTATTAAAAGAGTGGCGAGAGCGATGTGAAAGAAAACAATCGAACGGAGACTGGTTTTCCATGAATTTATTGTTTGCACAATTTGCGAGCACGATCGGATCAGTTCAAATCGCCTCAACGTCTGCTACACATGACGTCATCAGGAATTCCCACTTCTTTTTACAGCCAGCCCGTTTTTTAGCGAGAGTCAAGAACGAACAGAAAATAGCCGTATCTTATTCTATTGCATTGGGGGCAAAATAAAGCCGGCGTTCTTATCCTGTAGCTGCAATCGTGTAAGTGTTTTATATCAACCTAATGCAGCACTCGTATATACGAAACCTTTACGAGCACTGCATGCCTTCCAATAAAAGGAACACTTCTGATCACAATACTAGCCGCTCTTAGAACAAAATACATCATAATACAAGTAGTCAGGAGCTTGAGTATTTATCGAATCACTGAATGAATATAACTTAGTAATACCGCTGTATAAGTGCTTCGCCGTTTCTTTCAAGCTTCACAGTTACCGGAGTACAAAACTAGACATGTAAACAAAAACACACACTGAAAGCTTTAAATTAAAACAATATTCGCCAACATTGAAGAGTAAACCTACGACGGTTTTTCTACCCCAGAATATAATTTAACTCAGAATAATGATGATATCACAACTACCATTGAATGTCAACATTCATTCTACAATAGCTTTTGTTTCGCGCGCTCAGTAATTACAGAAACAAAACTCCTGTCAAAACAAACACAGTTAATACTTTCTGCCGCAACAATGTCAGTTCTCAACGTTCCACAAGCCCAATATTTATAATCAAGCAACAAAAAAAAAAAAACACGTTACAAGGTTTTGGGCTTAGAATATTACACACGCGTCGTTTGGCACCAGAGCTTCAGACCGGCGAAACACCTGACGAGTACAAGCCAGTATCCAACAGTGTCATATACACATTCAAAAGACTCCCTACAGCGTGCCTTGGTCTTGGTTCTCCGAAGCCTGCCTCAACATACACGTTGTATATGGCTGCATCCGCGCAGCGTCTGCCCGCCACTTAGCGCGCAGTTCATTGGAACATGTTCAGAAGATGAAAGATGAAATAAACTTTCAACCAAGAATGCTTTCACTCGATGTTGTTGGTAGCCATGGATACGCTTCCCTACTAAAAGCAGCAGCGCTATCAAGTGGCGCAGTAATGTCGCATAGTCCTGGTTGCTGACTCCTACACGCTCGAAGTCCTTTCTCTCCTAGATGCGAGCTGTGATGCTCAAGGAATCAGTCCATTGTTCAAAGGAGAGGTCATTCAACGCTGGCCTTTGGGGTGCCCCGTCCTTGAGGCACCGGGCTCACTGCAGGCGCTCGGAGAGCCAGGGCAGGAACTTTGTGATTCGAGTGTACACGCCTGGGTACCCCGGTGTTGCACAGCGCTTGCCGAACGACACAACGCCCACGAGGAAGAAGCGTCCGTTGTCAGGCAGGACCAAGGGGCCGCCGGAGTCGCCCTGAAGAAGGGTAAAGATTAGCGTCTCGTTTTGCGAAACTTTGGAAATCCTATAATGACAATGCGTGCCTAGTTGCGACGTCCAGTTGTTATGGGTACATACACGATTGAAGAACTATCGAGTGCCTCCAGACCATCCCATGTACACTGGCGCTATGAGTCAGTTTCGAATTATGGCATGCACGTGCGATCACTTGCTAGCCTTAGCAAATCTAGGTGTCCAAAATCACGATATATTCACGATTGCTCAGTGTATATGGGTCAGCTTACTCGAAGTGGCACGGCAACGGAGAGGGAAGGTAGACATTTATGTTGACGATTGAGATGCTTGACAGCGGCTGCAATAATCGTACTAGTCCAAGGATGCGAACGTGGGCCCATTGAATTTTACACCTAAGTACCACTTAGACATTCTCTGAACACGTAAAAATTAAGTCGCCATAAGGTTAGCTTGTTTCCAGCCTTGATTAGCCGGTATTTTTATTAAAAACAACATTGCCGGATATTCGAAGGACTTGTCTTGATAAGTTGTCTGAAACATATTAGAACTAAAAACGGCGTCCACGCAGAATTTGTTCCAATTTGCTGGATTTCCTATAAAGTGCGTCAAACTTGATATATCTCATTTCAACGCGAGAGGAAAATGTTCTACCCTTATTCAAAGGCAGTGCAAATACCATTTTCGCCTCGTAAAATATAAGACAAGATGCTTTCAGTTTGTCTCAAGAACACGGATATGTTCGGCCGGTGATAGACATGATTCGTTTTGTTGTAAATATAAGATTTGTACAGTTTCGCTCTCCTTGAGAAGTGCCAGTTTCGTCGTCAACTGTGCTTGCTACAGCCCAATCTATCTGTTTCGAGTTATAGCAAGGAAGCGTCACCCCAAGCGAGCTTAACATGACTGAGTGATGCATACAACTGCTTGAGCAACGACACGAGAACTTCAAGAGAACTGGAAACTGCGGGGGCTCATTTCCGAACATTTTGCGTTCATTTTCCATAACGGCAACGTGGGGACGCCAGCGAGAACACAGTGAAGTTCACCGATGAAACTTCCCTCCCTCTCTCCCTACGGGTGGACATCCTCGAACCCCGAACAGTGGAAGAAAACAGCCTCGCACATATAAGATATTTTGACCGAGCAACCCAAGGAAACCAGCGGCAGCCGGGGGAAACCGGTTCTTTTCTCTGAGCTCCTCGCGCGAAGGGTTCGGGCCATCATGCGGGAGCGAGGAACGACCGGCGGGAGCTTCGAACATCGGCGGATGATTCTGCTTCCACGCCGGTCATTGACTCATAGCGCCGCTGTGCTTAGAATCAACACTCTTACTGCCATAAACGTGACTGGCGTTTGACTCGCACTTGGTGATCGTGGCAAGCATCGCGAGTATAAACCAGCGTTCCTGGTACGGCATCACATCGCAGAGTTGCGAGTCCCGATGCCTAATTCTGAGAACAGAAAGCCACAAAACGTACCTGGCAGGAGTCCTGCCTGCCATTTCCATCTCCTGCGCAGAGGTAGACATCGGAGATCGGCACTTCTTTCTGGAAGGCAGTCTTGCACTCTGGTTCATCCCAGATCTTGATCTGGGCCTCCTTCAAAACATCGCTCGATTCGCCATCTGGAAAAAGAGAAAAGAACATGGAAAAAACGCTTATGTAGCGCGCGTTCTGTCGAAACAATAGCTGAACACAGTCTTTGATGTTTCGTACAATATTGCAAGAGGTACTCGCTCAGACATCGAGAAATAAGAAATTCGCGTGTCATATTACATTCATTGTACGAGTGATCGTGTGAACGGATCAGTTAAACAAAACACCTACACTCTCACGAATGTGCCTTTGTTAGAACTCTCTGAAACTTTCGTTAATTAAATTATGGGTCGCTACACGATTGTTTTTTTCCCGAAGTAAGTTGAAAACAACACTTGTGGGACTCAGTTTATATTTCACTCCCGGTCTTTTCAATTGCAACATCCTATATATATCTACGCTGATTCTTCTTTCTTTTACACACTGTGTTGCCTATTGAGCCCCCACAGTGAGTGCGGCGAGCTGTCAGCTATGTCCCGTGTACTGTATTTCAGACGCTTGGCTATGCATTTTGTTGATATCAAAATGCTTAAAATCCGAACTACTAAAGAAGGTTGAATATCTACCGCTAATATATCCCTTTAAGATCTATGCACTACGCATTTAATTCTCTGAGATGCACCGATATAATGCAACGCGTTGGGTATAAAACTGAATCATATTTAAGAACATCATACAACCAAATACGAGCTATGTAATACCAACGAGCCGAATTCTCCGCTGTACTACAATATTACGACCACACAAAGCAATCTTTCAAAGGAAAAACCTCCTACACCCCATGCTCGCTTAATACTTGCACAGATAGAGCTGCAAACTTAATCACAGTTTTTGGAGACACTGGAGCGCGTTGCATCATTTACTATCAGGGCCATCTAATGACCAGGGGCGCAACTGCAGCTGCAGCTTTGCGGAGGCGCTGCAGGGTAGCGCCGGGTTGTTAGTGCGCTTTGATGGGACCCGACGACGCGTGCTCCCGTGTTTTCTCTCCTATTAAGAAAGTACGTGTGGAATAAACGTTGAGCCACCGCTTGAGTAAAATCTATCCCAAGAATGTTGGTACAGCCAACACATATTTGTATTTTCATAGCTCACAAAGTGGGTTTCAAAATGCATCCGTATGGGCGCTTAAAAAAAAAGAGAAAGATAAATACTGGCTTAGGATGAATGTTTTCAGTTTCATTTTTGTTTCTATTTACTCTTCGTGAAATCGGCCATTTCTCCAAAAGACATTCAGATTAAAAATAGCGCAAAAAAGACGGGACGAAAACACGAAGAAGCACACAGGTCAAGCGCTAACTGGCAACTAAAATTTATTGAATGCTTCCAACTTTGCTATCGCTGTTTTTAATATGAATGTCCAGTACCAACTTGCCCCGCACACCAAGCTTTTACTCCAAAAGACATTATATAATACCCTAAGGTTTCATAAGCTAATAAAGTACTTTAACGATACATGTCGTTCGGCTAGTTGGTTTATAATTTTCGGAAACTTGTACGAAGCACTCACTGAATGCTGTTGTGCCCCATCCGGTGACGAATGCATGGTACCCGTTCAGGTCTCTGGAGGCAAAGTCGCTCCCGTAGGGTAAGCATACGGGTCGGACGAACTTGTTGAACGTAGCCGGCCTCTCCATCGTGAGCACGGCCACGTCGTTCTTGAAGGTCCGGGGCACGAAGTCCGCGTGGCGCTCCACCTTGACCACGGGAATATCGACCGGGGACACGTTGTCGTCGCTCCGAACCAGGTTGTGGTCTCCCAGACGGATCGTGAACACCGACGGGGGCAGGCTGCGTAAAAAGAGAGGCGCCTGCTCTAACGACCACTCATCTGCAGCTGCTGTGGCGAGGGTGTTGTCATCTCCTCGGGCCCAGTATACCCGACTAGTCGTTAGGGCTATACTCAGCTTTACCTTACGATGGACCGCATTGGACGCTACGAATCGTCCCAGCCAATCCAGTCAACGTGTCACTTGACCACGTGCACTGCGCCTCAAGGAAACCCTCTCGAAGCTCGCTACTGGATCGGGTTTGGCGGTTCCTAACGTCCTCTCCGGCTCGTTGTAAATCAAACAAAGTATAGTTTTGTGTTTTTAGACGTCATCCTCTAAACCTACATAGAGAAATGCCACCAAGTTAGCAAAATTTGTCATGTTTTGATTCACAATTGAAAGATCGTCAGTTTAAAAAGAAGACTGAAGAAATACCTAGCTCAACAGCTCTTTCATCTGAATTTAGTCGTTAGTCGATATATGTATCTAAAATGAAGTATACGCGGAACAAAAAACAAACTGTGCACTCTGTTAGATATTAACATCCTTTCTTTAAAATATACTTAGATGTATGTCGATAAGGTTTCTTAATAAATACTGTCGGTTTTGAAATATACTGGAAATAATAAACAGTTTAATAAAAATTTATATATTCCACATTGTCCTAGCAGCGTTTATACTGTTTTAATAGGTTCATGATAAAAAAACAGCACGAAAAGCATAAGGGCGCAGGGGACAGAGTTACAGGCAGGACAAGGTGCTGACTATCAATTTTGGGGGGATTGGTGGCCGAGTGGGCTAGCGCATACCAACTCGGACCATGTGGAGCGAAAGTTCGTGCTGCAGAACCCAGGAATCCTGGGCTCAAACCCCAGCCATGCCCGTTTCAATCTGGATGAGCATCGTACCGGCGTTCGGTCGTGTATCACTACTGCGTGGTGGACGTTAAAGACCCCAGGCTAGCGGTTGCACCGCACTGGCTAAATTGCTCATCTATAGCCGAGAGATAAGTCACCCGTCGAGGCAGATTAATTTCAGGCTCTATAAACATACACACCCCAATTTACTTTTACTATCTACTTTCTTATTTTGAAAAACACGCGGGCATTGGGTTTACTTTTTCTTTCACCTTGGGATCTTCTGTCTTTTTTCTTTTTTTTCTATGGGGTTGTTTTTAATTTCTCGTTTCGTCGAAGTAGAAGTTATCCAAAGTCCAAAAAAGCCATCTCAGACTCCCTGAGGTTCACAGTAAGATGACGTTTTTTGACCTTAAACTTCAAAGGAACCTTGGAAGCAGCGTGAAAGACGAGGGACAAGAACGAGAAGTGAACAAACACAACTAGTCCAATTTCACGCCTTGTTGTAGTTCATTTCTCTTACATTGGGCTCTTTTATGTTCTTAAGCAGCGTTGTGTTCACTCACTTCTCGTTCTTGTCCCTTGTTTTATAACGCTGTTTCCAAGTATGCATTATGAACCAACTAGCCCAACTTCAAACCCTGTTGCAAACTTCAAAGAAACGAAACAAAAAAGCTTCACCACAGGGAAAAAAAAAGAATAAAAAAAACGACTGAACAGAGAGAGCAAGAGAAGACCCTGTGGCAATGTGTTTTTAAAAACAAGTTGTTAGCCCCAACGTCGGGCAGCGCCTTGTCCTTCGTGTAATGCTCTCCTCTGTGTCCTTGTGTTTTTCGCGCTGTTTTTCATCATGAACGTACACCAACTTGCCCAACTATCCATTCTTGTATTTTTGAACACCTTGAAGAGTCCCGAAATAGAATAATTGAAACCAAATATTAACAACTTAATTGTATGAGATTCGCGTGAAAATATACTCAGTGAAAACAAATTGGAGTTGAAATAAAGACGCAAAAGACGCAGCAGGTTTTTGCCGTGCCAATGTGTTCGTGCTACTGGGAAAATACGAGTCGCGTTGTTTTATACTAAATTTTCTCACAAGCGGTCCGTCAAATATCTGTTGCAAATTGTTTTATGAAATACGTTCGCACCTTTATTCACGCGACGTTGTTCAGCACACTACGTCACCCGGCAAATGTGATGTACTACGCTGTGTGGGAACATTTATTTCCGCGTTTGTTTCCGAGTAGTGAAGAGCAAAGTGAGTCGCTGAATAGTATATACCAACTAAAGTCTGACGTCATGCCACTGCGGTGGCGCTGCTGTCGGAACTGCGCATGCGCAGATGCTACGCCTCAGGCGAATCTGGTTTCTGCGCACTAGCAATGCCGGTATTGGCAAACTGGGGCTTGTTTGTACACAGTGAGTTGGTCAATACAATGACCGTGCACACCCCAAACGCGACCTGCAACGAGTAATTCTGTCATTTAATAATGACCCTTTGTTTAGTGACGTTCCACTTGGGCGTTAAGCCATTGACATTTTTCGAACTTCCCTTTTATATTTCATTGAGGCCTTATTTGGACTCATAAGTTTTAACGTAGGGTCAGTCATTGGTATGGCTTACTATCTGGCATAAAGCTACGAGTGTCTTTTTGAGTGCCAAAGCTGCTGCCAATGTAACGGGATCCCAGGCACAGTCAAGTTGTTTTTTAACAGCTTTCTGTGTGGGGATCCCTGCAGGTTTCTGGAAAATAAACATTTGATTTGACCCGATTTGATTTGAGATAAATTGCTTCTGTATGCGGTTAGAAACCACGAATGAGCAGTGATTCTGCTCCTTCGCGTTATGGCACTATATTTTGCGCACAAATTTTATTGCCTAAACGCCATATTTATTTCCAATTGTTGCTTGCAAGGTACCCTTTTATCGGCTTTATAGCAACAAAGAAAGAAAAAAAACTTCTTGCGTCTAAATTTGTCCTGCATTACAGTCCGACAGAAGACCAAGTAATGGTCTTCTTCAGCGCGACGTGAGAGGTCCCTTTTGACAGTGTGCGTATGTTGCGAGTGTGTGAGTTATGTTTTGCGCGGTTACCTATAAACCATGCGAAACGTAATACCTGTAAAACCTCTGTTTATGTAAACAGGTATTTTCCTTCTGAAACCTACGTAATCATTGTGAACGTTATTCACGTAATACTGCAAGATGTTAAGTACAGTTGCCGCGGGAGTTAATAGGGAGTTTTCGTAGATCGCGTCTCCTCCTCCGCTAAGCCCTCCGCAACGAAGAAGCCACTACTGCGCCTGCGCGCCCATGGCCTTGACTGTAGAGTTCCGGGTATCGTAGCGGGTTGCGGAGAGCGTTGCGGGACGGCAAAAACGATCTACGACAACTCCCCAATAGCTCCACGCGAGCGCGCGTTTATTTCCGAAGGGCGGTCGACTGGTGACTTGCAATAAAACTAGAGATGACGTCAGGGCGAGTCCATGCGGAGTTGACGAGGGAAGCCGCTCAATTCAAGGGAACCGTTGCTATCATCTGCCTAAGGGTGAGCGTAGTTCGAATGAAAATGGTAGATGATGTTGCAGAAGTTAGAAAATACGACGTGTTTCCTTCTCTCTTTCCAAACAGCCATCTCCTTCGTGCTCGACGATCTTGACTTGTGTAGAATCATCTCTCCTTTTTATTCGAACTACACACAGGCGGTGCGGGCGTGCGGATGATAACAACGGTTCCCTTGAATTGAGACGGCTTCCCCCGTCCACTCCGCATGGACTCGCCCTGACGTCATGCCTAGTTCTATCGCAAGCCACCAGTCAAGCGCCCCTCGGAAAAAAAACGCGCGCTCGCGTGGAGCTATTAACTCCCTCGACGACTGTACAAGAACATTAGAACCATTTTTGTTTACATATATTGAGAACATTATTCCGAAGCTTGCATTATTCTTAGAAGAAAAGATAGCAGGTTATTATTTGCAATTATAAAATACTGAGGCTCTAGAACACACTCAGGGGACAAACGCACTGAAATATATCGCTTTGTTTCTTTTCGAGATATTCGTCGATCCCAGGTTTTCAAAATCATCAGTGATCATGCTTTCCTGAAAACTCTTGGAAGATGAAAAGTGGCTCACTTTGTGGCTCGGTGTCCGACAACGACGCAGTGAGCGGCCGTCACCACGTGCCTCGGTGTGACCAGGGCACCCCCGCAGGCGGCGCTGTTCACGCCACCACTGTTGATGTAAATCGCAGCCTGTGAAAGAAGAAGTGAAAGACCGTCAGCCGGGAATGGATGGACTGGGAGCACTGAAATTTCAGCGACTTAAAATAATTGAAAAAGAAAAAAAAAAACTAAATGCATAACTTTGACACAACATACAAAATATTAAAAGTGGGAAAAAGCGAGGACAATAAAGACACAAAGACGACAGGACAGGCGCTATGTCTAGTGCAAGAACAAACCGGTTTTAATGCAACAAAGAGATAGAACAGGTATTCTAAACATAATTCTTTTCCCCCCAAAAAATTGTTTGGAGCAATATTTATTTTGATCACGCAAATAATGCAAAGGTGCAAGCGAGGTGGGCAAGAATGGCGATAATGAACCCTGAAGAAAAGCTTATCGGCTCCCAGTGGAGCCAATAAAACCAACTTGCTTTACTGACTTCTAACTCCTGGTTAGGTCAGTTTGTAAAGCGCTCCACTGAAAATGGGGAGGTCCCTGGTTCAATACCAGGACCAGGCGTATTTTCCTGGTCAAGCACCAGTCACCTAGCTGTCTTTGGAGATTTGTGTTGGTCCTTTGTTTTCCTTGTTCCCCTTCTCCAGAATGTATTATCGTCATTCTTGTCCAGCTCGCATGCACCTTTGCATTAAATGCATTATCATCATAAACTTTAAATACAGGCCGTTCACCCTTGTTGGTGTTAGATTGATGGCAGCTAATGAAATCCGTCTGTTCTGCAGATGTCTAACTCCTGGTGAAATCAGTTGGTAGAGCGCTCCACTGTTAGTGGAGAGGTCCCTGGTTCGATACCAGGACCGGTCGTATTTTTCTGGTCAAGCACCAGTCACCTAGCTGTCTTTTTGAGAATTGTGTTCGTCCTTTGTCCCCTTTGCTTCCCTTCTCCAGGGTTTATTATCGTCAGTACTTATGCCGTAATACGCAATTTAAGGGGAGGCAACGACCCGCTCTAGGCCACACCTATTACTACTGGGTTGGCATGGCTGCTCGGTCGAACGAGTTCGCAAGCCTGTCTCCCTGTCGCGACGTCCGATGCGTCTAGTCTACCCTTTCACAGCGCCTGCTAGTCGTGCTAACAGACGCGGGGCAGCGTACGGCATGGTCTTCTCTTACAGCATGTACACTAACCCTCGAGCCCAGCTGAGACGGTCCGCAAACATTTTGTTCTTAATTTATCTCGCTGCGACTTACTAGAGAGACGCGGCTTGACGGTGGAAGTTCAAAATAAAAATACAAGCGCATTAACTTTTCTCAATCAAAAAAAAAAAAAAAAAAAAAAACCGGTGCCGGGCAATTTACGACAGCATTCACAAATGCTAAAATGGCCGTTCAAGTCTAGTTGTATCTTTAGCCAACAGATGTCGGAAGAGTCTAGTGCGAGCGCCGGTGCCGAGCCTAGCGGACGATCTTCGCCAATGCTCCACTAATAAGGAAAATACAGCGAGTGTGAGGCCGAACTGTTGATCGTCAGTCGTGATGCTTAAAACCCGAGACACATTCGCATTACACCGAGGATACTTTTAGACAGATTGAAACCATTCACCCCGGGCAATGTGAACGAAGGGTCTTAATGCTTATTCTGTTTAAACTAGTAAATCGGAGCATTTTGAAGAAAGAATGTGTCTGGGAGGGAACTTGGTTATGACTGTATCGAGAATGACTGTATGGACATCTCTAAGAGGTTGTTCGGTGATTGATTCATATGTATCCGAGTCCAATCCAGGGCTGTCCAAACCCCGGCCCGCGGGCCAGACGCGTCCCAGCGGAGGCGCTCCCGCCGCCCCGCCGACGACTGCGGTTCTTCCAGTGTGACGTCTGGCCCGCGACCTGCCGCTACAAACGCAAAATTAAACGCGCGTAAAAAAACGGCTTCGCGACTAGCACGAAAAACACGAGCCAAATTATTAGAAATAATAAAAACTGCGGCATCTAAAACGTGAGTTTTTTCGTCATAGTTATTGTAGAATCGTATCACCAGTATCAGAATTTGTAGTACCGTGTTTTATGCCTGTTAAGTAGGTTAGAGCTCAGTCGCTCTCTATTGTATATCGTGCTCACACGCCTGCGTCAAAACTATCGTATATTGTTGTTATCAGAATTTTAATTCTGATTCGTCTTCCGCCCTCTGCGAATAGGACAAAGTTCCTACGCGCTTTGATTTAGGCTTAGTCCGTTTTCTATGTCAGAATGTTTTTTTATGTTTTTTTTAGTGACATATTGAATTAAAAGAAAGTATATGTATTCATTAGGATTCCAAATTATTTTACTACATTGTAAAAACTATTTTTTTATTTAAATATTTATTTAGGTATATTTATTTATTATTCGTAAATATATTGACTATCGAACTCTTGAGATTTTTGCAGATTCCCAATTCGCACCCTTAGGCGTTAAGTTCGGAGACGCCTGGTTCAGTCGGTGCATTGTTACCGAACTGTTTGCCCGGGAGAAGGGTTGTTAGTGTCTATCGGGGCTATGTAAGGAGCGAAAGAAAATAAACGGTTTAGCTGCGTTTGAGACGTCTTCTGCTCAGCATGTGTTCTCCGACATCAAAGTTTCCTATTTTCTCTCACCACAGTCTCAGGTTTTAAACATTATGTTTTCACTATACCGGAGCGTCTATGCCAGTGCGCGTACGATATTTAAGGTGCAATAATGTACTCGGTAAACAAATAAATTCAATTGAAAAACTGCGATGGAAATGCCTCGTGGATCCCCATTTTTGGCACGGAGGTGACCGGTCGATGCAGTGCTTCTGCTTCACGCTGCGCCATTTGTCGGCAGCACATACAACTAGGAGAGCACGGTCACTTTATCGTCTGCGAGTGCTGCTGCAGATTGCCCGAAAGAGTTTTTTTTTCCGTTTTCTTTTTGGAACGAGGTAAGTTTATTCGTAGACAATTTCACCCTTAGCTTCCAGAGCCTAGCTTCACCGCCATAGTAAATCGCAGCGTGATACGTAGATAGACTCAATCTTGCGGGCCTCTCGAAGTGGTTTCGAAGCGTTTGCGTAGATGCGTAGATGCTGTAGAAGACACCTTACCCTCATCTGCGGCGCCCGCAAGACGCGTTCATTAAAGGAGCCCAAATTTTCCTTTTATTTTTTTCAGCTATTGAGAAGAGGCGCGTCAGCGTCAGCCGCCGCCTGCGTCCGTCCGCTATTCCGCCATTGTCGACCATCGCCTGGAAGGCGCACAGGACCCCACCAGGAAAGCGGATTTCTAGCGTATAATCATGGGCAAGTTAAGGTCCAAAACGAGCCTCTGTCGATGTGCGAGAAAAAGTGACGAAAATGACTAAACCAAACATCAACATAATAAGTATGTGGTTCCTCCCGCGTTTCCGTTTTTGCTGTTTTCTTGCATAGCGTCTGCGAGCAGGGTGGGTGAGCGTCATAACGCACAATTCAAACACGACCGCAAAATATTCATTTTGGCAAGCCAGATGCGCTGCTCAAACCTTAAGATACACGTCCTGGGAATGAAACCACGGGAAAGTACCTGAACGGAATTAACACGAGTTAGCACCCTATGACTTTTGCCTAAATCGCACGCAAATGCTTGCCTGTTTAGGTATCTTCTCAGTCCGCAATCACAACGGTTGCACGATTTACAGAGCAGCGTGTTACTTTTACGGGAAACGCTATCTTTATTCAGCATCCACAGGCGAATGACGAACCAAAATGTCGAGCAAAATAATTGGCGTGGAGACGCTAGGCTTACGCGAATTTCGCGAAGAAAACAAACACTCGTGCGACGCTTCTGAAGGCGTGAAATTGGTAGTGGGGGCGTTGTTACCGAAAACTGCGTCGGTTGAGGGAATCTTTTAAACATCTCGATGACCACGAAACGACTCGGACTTGGAAAAATGGACGAGCTCAAGGGAGCTAGCGGTGTTTAGAAGTCATCGCGGCAAACGCCTGCAGCTATTTTTGTTATCGTTCGCACCCAAAGCTTAAAAGGAGATCTCTCAATATTTCAGAAACGAATTATAACTATCGAGATGTCCGTTTCTCGGACATAAAAATATGTCGAACAAACAAAAACAGCACGGAGAAAAAAATGTACATCCAACATTGCAAACGTCAACCATTTCTCCAGCCAATAAAAGGGGTAAGCACGGTGTAAGCACTGGGTGATTTTTAGCGGGTCGTGACCTCCACCTTTCCACCTTAAGATTGTCTGCCAGCATGAACATTGTCCAAGAAAGTGTCTCCGCTTGAATTGATTTTGTTATATCCGTGTTATATCTAGGCCCCTTGAAATTTTTTTTCTTATAACTTCAGGGTCCCTTGAATATATAAGCGGTCAACAAACAATTGTTTATGCCAGGTTTTCTCATTTCTTGGCGTCAAAAATGCTTAGGCAATAGAAAAATAAACCAATGCCATCAATATCGTTCAAAACGTAACGAGCTCGCGAATAAAGGCGCCAATATAATTGGGAATTATTTGTAACCCTATTTCAAAAAGCATAATTAAGTTTCGGCTTTAGAAGACTCTGGACAAAATCGCATCAAAAATCTTTACAGTAAATCCCAATGAATAAGGTAAGTGCCTAAAAGATCTTCCCGTTTTGTCCCATCTGTGAATTAAATCACTTTATGGTTGCAGTAAAATAAAGACTCACCATCCAAGGCCATGCTCCGGGTTCTGACTCGCGTCCTCCCACAATCCTGCTGACGCTGACGTTGGTCTGTCCACAAGCTGGGGAAAGCAACGATTATAGATTGAAGCAAACAATGATTATTGACGTAGAATTTCCACGTGTCAGGGACTCCAGCCAGGTGGAAACGTGATCGCGAACTCAAAATGTGCAACGCACCACAAACACCATTAACTAAGCTTGCTCGTTTCTTTTTTCTTTTTCTTAGAAGTTTCGAAAATTGTGTATCCTAATGATCGCTAAGTGAATTGCAAAATGTTATACAAAAACTGTACTTGGGAATTCTAGGTTTTATTGCTTTCAGACCGAAAGGCGCATTACGTTTTAAGCTCGGCTTACGTACATGAATAGATAACATGTGTATTTGAGGAAAGAAATCGTAATCTATAACAATGTTAAGTACCGCTCCCCCTTCCAAGATTAGCTGTTTCGCGAGAACGCCCAGGTAGAATTGCATCTAAAAACAAGCAAAATAATAATGCAAAACATGGTTCACTGTGCCTGCCTATAGTTCGTTCTATCCGCACGCCACGCGATAGCAGAAAAGTTCGAAGGCCGGGACACCGTCCCGCGCTTGTCAGAAGCAGTCGGTTGAAGAGAATATCTTGGAATGGTCGGCAGTCCCTACATATGTGATTGAAACCAATAAAGCTTGCATAGGTGCAAATATCTCATACAAATTTTCAATCAGACCCTGTTCGTAGGAACTTAATGTGTGTTAGTTACCTTGCTTAATCCAGCATTTTTTGCCATCTGCGAGCTAGGTTTTGTCTCGTTTAGCAAAAAGTTGCTCAACTTTTTGCCTTCCCTTGTATCTAAATGAATATAAATAACGTCTATAATGTATCGAGGAGCCTGTGTGGTGCATAATGTTACTCTGGTGGCATCAGAAATCCTAACACGTGTGGTTTTTAATGAGTACCGTTTGTTACAACTCCGGCATGCCGGTAGAGGCCTGCTCGTGCGGAAATCGTAAGAATGGTGCTGATGGCTGTAGTTCTGGGTGTCCCATCATAAACTCTGATGTCGCATATAGTTATCTTGGCCACCAGCCTACGTAAATCGAATAGATTAAGAACAGAACGCTTGTTAGCTACTGACAACGACTGCTCAGGAGTTGGTTTTCCTACCAGCGGGAAGAAACTTGGGGTAGTTCCCGATCCTGGGTCCGTCCTCATTGTTGATCTCTTCGTTAGGTGGTGACTGTGTCACTGGCCTCCTTGTGGGTGGACGTGGGGTAGGTGGGCGCCTTGTGGGTGGGCGCTGGGTGGGTGGGCGCTGGGTGGGTGGGCGCTGCGTAGGCGGCCTTTGAGTTGGAGGCCTCTGGGTGGGAGGGCGCTGGGTCTGCCGGGACGGGCAGCAGAGCAGCGGCACGTTGCGAGAAAATCCACAGATGTACCGGCGCAGGAAGTTGTAATCCCGCACGGACTGCAGGTCTGGACAGCGGGCGAGCTCGATGCATGTGCCAGGCTCGTTGCGGGGAGTCGTACAGCCGTCATCTTCCGGGAACTCAAACGAGAAAGCTATACGAACAAAGAAAAATGGAAACACCTTATAGCGTATTGTAAAGACGTCATCGACATAATTATTTAATGCAAAAAAAAGTTTCCTTAAAGGATTTGAACGGCCAAATGTACTTAGTAGACGCTCTTTTTGTTTGACACCCTTCAGTCCTGATCGCTCGCCCATTTGTGAGATTACTTGGAAGCCAAGGCTGTTTGACGTAATGAAACAATTAATGTTCCCGGTGAAGATCTATAGAACCGTTGCAGCGACGATCACGCAAAATGTGAGTCAACTTTATACACGCTATGCACTGTGCTATCTTTTATAAATCCTAAAAGCCCAGGATAAGATAAGATTAAGCTTGCTTGTATCGGTGGAAAAAAAAGAAGGTATCGGCACTTTAGGTTATAAACAGGAAGAAAGGAACCCCTTTTAATCTTCACAAGGCCAACGAAACCGTGATGGCAAGAACGCACAATCTTGCTGCCCTAGGTGAACATAAAATGAAGACGGAAACAAAAGCGATGGTACATGCGATTTGGTTTAGGACTGCCTTAATATTTTGTTCCCGTCCATCCCTTCTCGCCCTGTATGCATGGTTTACTATGACAAAAAGCTTAACGATATTGCGTTTTTGTCCCTACAAAGACCATTCTACAACCTTTAAAAAATTCCATAGTTTGTAAGAATTTTGCGCGTTTAGCTTCTTGATCGGAATTCGTGCAAGCCCTACCTTTTACGGTGTACAATAACGCACATGGAGGCATTGTGTGTTTTGTTTGAGATGTTATCATGACCGTATTTACTATTCACAGCAAGGGTGCAAATCAATCGTATTCTATGTGCCGATTTGCACACACCATTTACGACTCGGTTACCATAGACTTCTTGAAAAAATAAAGTATTTTAATGCGCAGATAAGTGAAATGGCACACTTTAAATGGTGCAATTTAATAGAAAAAAAGAAGGAAAAAGTAATAACACTGCGTTTTTCTGCTAATGTCCGCCCTCAAGTGGGCAAAAGAAGAGAAGAAAGAGGCGTTTTACTTCTCCAGGCAGGCGGGAGGAAAGTTCCGCCCTCCCTGCCTCATCTTCTTTCGGTTTCGTTTTTCGGGCACTTTGCGCGCGTTGCTTAGTAACTGGTGTTGGTCTGACTCAGCGTGATCGGAAACGAAGTCGGACTGGAGAAACCAAAATAGTTGTAGTTGAAGTTATAGTAGTACCACAGACTGGAGTTACGGCGCACTGTTTGGGAACACACGCCATCATAGTGTCACAATAATCTGGCAGATGGCCTATTTCACCACTAAACAGGTAGTCATTCGTATTGGTTGTCGCTGCTTCAAAAGAAGACAGCTAGTAGTCAAATACTTCAGTACGAGGAAGTGACCCGTTTCAAAAGTCCAACGAGCAACATTGATGGTCGCCATTTGTTGGTCACGAAACGCGGGACTGGATCCGAGCCGCCGCCGAGCGCTAACGCAGCCCTCTTCTCCAATACCTGCTCAGAGTACGTGCCGAAGCTAAGGCGTACAGGCGAGGGCGCATACTTTAGAAAGGACTCTAATATTTGAACAACAAATAAAGTGGAGCCTGCTCACATTGCCTCTTGACGAGTCTAGTGGCTTCCGTGAGGCTCAGCGCCGTCGCAAGCAGCAGTAGAGATACCTTCACCATGGTTGCCTGGAAAAAGGGGATAAGAATATCGTTAGGCGGACGGGTACATGAACACTTTATCGCTATGAACAATAAATAAGAACTTCGTATATATTGTGCAGCATACAGAATGCCTAGCTCAAATAATTTATGCTTCCCAAGTAACACTGCCACCAACAGTGATATCGCCCGCAGTGCTCAATAAGCGTGTCCCGAACGAAGTCCGCCTTTAGAATTGAGCAACGGCGGTTTAAGTATGTTATTTTAAGTTAAGAATACGTTATGGTCAAGGTAACAAACGCAACACACATAAGCAAAAGAAAACATATTTGACGTTCATATTTATAAAGCGCTAAAGTCGGTCTGCCTTTGAAATTTGGAGACAAGCGTTTACGCAGCAGATCAGAAATTCAGCGAGTCTAGTACTACTGCTAGCCTGGGGCCGTTAGCTTGTATCACGCGTAGCGGCAGACTAAAATGTTAAAAGGCACGAACTGAAACAGGACGAAAAAAGACAATGTACGACGCGGACAAGTGCCAACAGATTCGACCACCGATCCCTCCTTAAAGCCACCTACTGAAACGTAAGACACAAAAGCAAGACGGAAAAAGCGTCACGACCAAATGAACAATACATATTGTCACCGGCACAGCGGGGTTCTCAGGCGGGAGGTGCCTCACTCGGGCCTTTCGCCGGAGAGAGCGATCACGCGATCACGAAGACAACCAAGGGCGTTCTCGTTAACAGTCGCGGGAGGAGTTTAGGGCCAGAAACGAGTGAAACAATATTTACCAAAGTACAGCCGCAAATATTGCTGCAAGAAGAGTTCATTAAAATTGAAATAATGTCGTATGGCCGTTTAACTGCACGCTAGCGAAACAATGTTGTAAAATATGTTTCGTCACGAATATGCGAGTCACTTTTGATTCCGCATAAACATTTGAGCAACGTTTCGAAGGTTCTTGATGGGTGAAGAGTCAATCTGTAAAAAGCTTACGGAGGAGCCTGCAAAAATACGATGTTTTGTAGGCATAGGTCCCAGCCACATGTCCCGAAAATTCTAGGGTTTATTCCCCCTGAGAATTATTTTACGAAGTCTCGTGTTTACTACCTACAAATAAAATGACACGTTCGCACTAGATGGTCATTCATATATGCGTCTATGGAGTCAGCACATATGTATAGTATTCAATTGAATCATGTTAAGTCTGACATTTTCCTTGCAGTTCTATTACTGCGACGAATGATGTTTATCAGATGCAACGAGAGCATTGTCTGAGCTTCACGTGATGTAGTGGCAGTAATGCCTTCTCGGTACGGGACGGTGAAAACAAGAGGTAACGACGTTAGCCGGGGTGTTTAACCGATGATTGGACGACTGCACTCCAGAAGGCCATTCCAGAAACTTGCAATGTGAGTGAGGCGAAGACCTAGGCAGAAAGAAATATATTGAGAAGAAACAAAAGAAAGGAGGGTAAGGAGAGCGAAGATACGAAGGATTGGAAACGTCGTGTACTCAGAAGGTGCTCCAACGTTGAAGTTTCGTGCGAATATTACGTAGATTCAGATGGTGCGGGGATGCAGGTTTGTGTTCCCATCAAGCTCGTTGGATTTGCTAAGTGCTAGGCCGCGCGACAGCGGACAACAAAGTCGTTAGCTGGAGACGGGGCAAGTGTGTGTGTGTGTCTGGAGGGGATTGCGGCGTATGCGCGTCCTTGGCCTTGGCACGGGCGAACGCCAACGGTAAGACGTAGTAAAGGCGTCGCTTTCGCGGCAGGGGCGACCACTAACGACGTGCGTCGCGCAGCTCTCGCATCGATTTCCTGCTGACTACGTGTTTTTTGCAGCAAACGAATCTGGTCGCGTTGGTCGGGTCTTTCGATGGCGTCCCGGATTCTACTTTTTACACTCGGCAGTTCGGTCTACACCTATCATTCGTCCGCGTGTAGCGTAGTCAGCAGGTGTGCACCTTCGTCGATGAATTGTTTGACATCAACGGCTGTTCACAGCAAAGCTGGAAAGGACAGAATATTTGCGGATACGTTCGTGCTACGCCAGTACGGTCCATGGGAAAAAAAAGACGGGCGCTCATTAAAAGTATTCACAATTAGTTTGCCGGCGCAACTCCTCAAAGTGTCGTTTTTTGCTTCTTATCGGGCATAAAATTGACGAGGGAATACTAAATATATCAGTATTGTTCAAATTTTCTCGGTCTCGATTTATCGTAACAATTGCAGTTTACACTCGTTTTTTTATTTGAGTTTCTAAACTAGCTAAATAATTGTCTCTCTTTATTAACCAATTACCCATAACTTTACAAAATTTCATAATTTCACCTATTTGTACAATTTAAAACAACATATATGTTGTCTGTTTAAAAATCTACATAAAACAGAAACACTCCCCCGTTGAACTGAATCAGGAACGCGATACCCTGATAATATAGAAATGAACCGAAACCAAGTGAATACGCATTAAATCCTTATAAAAACACCGATTCAGAAATTATACGGCCTTCCGTCCAACCTCAGTGACGCTATTGCCGCTAAAACGTATTAGACTGGTAAGAAACGTAATAGTCTAACAGCAAAAGAAGCAGTGATGCGTCAGCTTGAACTTATAGAAGCACACATAGAAAGGATAGAACTGTAGAAACAGCTGCTATATAATATTTTCCTGTCTTTTCTACGTATGGTTATATAAGTTCAAGATGACGCATCATTAATATGTACCAACTAGCTCAACTTAAGCCTGTTACCAGCGCAGAACGTTTAGCTAAACTAGAAAAAAACCGAAGTTTGATCTAGGATAGGTTCGAGCGCAACTGAGATTAGAGTATATAAGTGGCCGAACATAATCAGACCATTTTTACGACCACATGAGGACACGAACGAACCAAAATTGCAAAATATTTAAAAACGTGTTGCAAAAAAAAAAAAACAAAAAAAAAACAACAACAACAGCAACAACAAAAAAAGATGCACGTTTTATTACTCCATTTATATTTCTTGGAATAAATTAGATCCAGGTTAAGAGGACGCGCGGAAGCAGAAACGCGATACCGGGCCACGTGCTTCATCCGGCGAGCTATCAATGGACGTGACCCTCGAGAAAAAACAAAACAAAAACCAGTTACGCCCGCTAGCTTGTTCACTGCCCCGGGAAGAATCGGAGAAGCATCTTGGAGGCTCGGGAAAAAAAAATAAGCGCTGGATGTAACGCAGCTTTTGTTATATGCTTGAGGTTAATTCTTGTTCACAGTGCGCACCAAGACGAAATTAATAACGTTCGACTTTCGATAATATCACGAAAGAATGTCTCTGACGAGTTTCGTATCAAATAAGTACTAACGCGCCCAACACAAGCGGGAACGTCGCTCCGAGTTGAGCTCGGAACTGCCAGAGACGGCTGTCGCAATTTTCTGCAAACTGTGTTGCGTTGGTGACGTCAGAACTCCCCTCCGGCGCTTGAGGCGTCCCACTGCACTTCCAGGTCTCTGCTAGCACAGAGTTGAGGGTGATATTCCTTCGTTTAATTGAGCCGTAAAACCTATGCGCGACGAATCATAAATCTATCGAAAAGTTTCTCGAAACAATGTCTGCAGAGCCGCAACCCATGATCTCGCGATAATCAGCACGCAGTTGATTTCCTACACCAAAGATTGCACTCGCTATTCGCGAGAAACAAACTTAGAAAACTTCGAAATGTGATAGTACAGCGTCAGACATCGGAACTTTTAAAATATATTTTTAAATGACCCTTTTATAAAGAGGGTCGTTAGTGACTAGAATTGCAATGTTTACGCCTACAGAGATAAAGATCGCTCTTGGATTACAACCGCAAGAAAGACGCTTTTGATTTACGAGGGACAAAAAGAACCTCTAGCTCGTCGCCGCTGTATTGGTAAACCCTTTCCAATTGAAGCGGGAGCTTTGAGAAATTCCTTCGAAAAATTGAGAACCGCCCTTGTATAACACGAAAAGTCTGGCGCCACAAGTGTAGGAGGGGACTTGTCCCTGTCTCAGCGTGCTGACAGTTTGCTAAAAAAATTCGACAGGCGGTTCTGATAATACCGCGCGTCACGCAGCGCGGTGTTTGAGCTTATATTGGCCACGACAGTGCACTCTAGTTGTGCAAAATAGACCAACTAATATCGAAAACAAAAACAAAACTAAACACCAACGAAGGACGATCGCTGTTCAAGATGGCTCTTATTTTTCCTTTTTTCAAATATCAGTCTCCGTTCATCCTCGTCCACCTCGTGAATTTATTTGCTATCCAGTTATTACGTTCAGCTACCAGCATCAGAGCGCTGGTGTTTTCTAGTTTTGTAGATTGGTTTATATATCTGTGCGCATCAGCTACCAGATCAACTGATGCAGTTTTATGATTTGTAAAGTACAGTACCTCTCTTATCTATGTTGAGGGAATAAAACATAGTCTGCCATGAGCTATGGCGAAGTTTTTATTTTTTAACGCCTTCACGGGGGAGAGCAAATTTTCGGTGCAGTATAGTGCAAACACAAAGTAAACGCTTCTGAATGTTCTCCGCCGAACCACCGTTGGGAGAGGAAGGAAAAAAGGGACATATGGTCTAACTGATGTACTTCTCTAAGAAGAGATAACTTGCAACAAACAGAAGAGCACAAGAATAAGAAGGAAAAATGAACAGGGAAGGAAAGTTTCCAAAATAACAATTTGGTACGACGCCCCTTTAAATAGCGCGCGTGTAACTTAAAAAAAATCTCGATATTTAAGCGGCTTTTAAACAAGTTACGACATTTCGCTTCTTTGAACTCAAAAACATCCTATGTCCTAACAATATATTTTGTATCGCCATTCACTATTGACCCATTTTGATAGCCTTTGTCGAAATTTTATTTGGTGGCACCCCGACCGACGACATAGTTTTAATACATTTCCAAATGACAACACCAAAGATACATCGCCACAGACGGATGAAATTAAATAATAAGAACTGGATGAAACAGACTTTGGCAATATATCAGACAATAGTTTTAAAGCG